AGACAAAGCCCAAACTCGTCAAAACTTGCACCATTCTCAGGCTTTTGTATTAATATTGTAATTAGTTCATCTTATATCTCACTACATGCACACGGAGCTAATGCAGGCCTCCTAGACTTCGACTCAGTTCCAACCTCGCTAGCTGACCACGTTTCTTCTCCCTGAAACAATTTGCTAAAAGTATGACGATAACTGATAAATCACGAACCACTAGTTCGTGACTGAAGTCCATTCTGATACTCTGATAGCATCCCCGGCATCCCCGGATAGCATCTTTCTGTTTCAGAAGTCGAGGAGACCTGTACTGTGTCAACCATATGAGATGTGGTTAGAACACGCTTATTGAATCATAGGGAAATGTGATTAAACTCTAGAGAAACTCTCTCCTGTAAAACAGCAGCATATTACTGTCTCAATATAATCATCTGCCTTCAAATTTTGGTCCCACGTGTGCAAGTTAGAATGGACACCGGTTGAATGTGGTATTGGTGATTATTATGTTAGCGGTTATTATCAAAATAAGTATAGGACATCGGATGACTAATGATAACAAGGGGAGGTAGAAGTTGACTCCGAAACTACTTTAATGGCTGGCAGAGAGCATGGTCTCAACCATGGTGATTTATTAAAGGGGAATGTTTCTCCCCCAGACAATCAGTGATGTCCAATTATAATATAATTGTTCATATAACATCTAACATACTGTACCTAATATATATCTTCAGAACAAATTGAGGGCACAGTGTCGCCCATACATTGAAAACATCAACAGAACAGCCAACTGTCGGATAAAACAAAATTAGTCAAAAGCAACATACAGCCGTTATCTATATTATTGCATTGCACCTTTAAAGGCCCCATGTAAAGTTCAAACCACTTTGGCTTATATTGTAGTCTTACCCAATGTTATCAAAGTGTGATATGTGAAACTTTTTTTTTAAATTTCAAAAAGTGGTTTTTGATAGACTTTTTGTTCCAAAATTTGTGAATTTATTTAAAACCAACTTTTAGAGGTCACTCATATCTTCTAATTAGCCACAATTCATACCAATGCATAGCATTCATCCTCCCATGTTTTTTGCCGAAAAAATTAAGAAAATCGGTTGATAAACAAGCGAGAAATGAAAATGGTTCTGAGAAAAATGCATTTCAAAATTTTAGTTCTCATAGAAACCAATGGTACAATGATATCTAAAACATAATTTATTCTTCCTTTTAACCTGGTTAGACAATCAACATTGTTTTTTTATGAAAGTCTAGCATACTTAGAAAAGATTGACATCGAAAAAAAAATTCAATTTTTTCAAAAAGTATTTGTTACCTTAGTGACATCACTAATGTTTCAAAATATTTTTGATAAGCTAAAACATTGAAGTGGCCCATTAAATATGACATTTTATTATTGAAATAGTGTGTCTTTTGTTCAATCTTTGCATTGGTGTTAAAAAGATAATCTTTTTTGAAATGCATTAAGAAATATTTGATGATTAAGAAATTTCAACTTTTTTTTGAAAAATGGCGGGAAACTTGAATATTTGAGAAATGAAATGTTCACAACTTTTTTCTCAAAATTTTTTTTTGTTCAAAAATCACTTTTTAAGTCCTGACAAATAGTAAATGAATGATAAAAAAATGTTTTCAAACTTTAGACGGGGACTTTAACAGATTTTTTCTGGTTTTGTAAGCAGCATTGCATTTTTTCCTTTTATTATATAAAAAAGAATGGACTGTGCAGTGACATGATTTCTCTGGAATAATTGAGGCATGGTTGTTGTTATCAATCAACGGAATGGCTGATATTTGAATCAACGTCAGTTTGTTTCCAATCACTGCCCAAATCAGGAGCCATTTTTATAATAGAATCAGTTATTGACAGCTGAAGTACTACGGTACATATATTCCTTTCACACTACCCTCGTCACTAGTGAAATTATTAGCTATAGTACGTAACATTTTTGAAGAGGCAAATATAAAAGTAATGAAGGGTTATTTGAAATACTGTCATCAGGTTTCAACACAAATAAAGAAACGATTAACATCCTCCCAACGAGTTGAGATATCTCAAGACCTGTCAGCTCCAAATAATTGAAATTGATCGATATCAGTGAGAGACAACTTCAAATCAAATTATAATGGGGTCTATCAACTTTGTCCAGGCTTCATGTAACAGGCTACAATAAGATTTAGAACATAATCGATGTCAATGATTAAATGACAAATTCAGCTTATTCCTGCAAAATATTAGCTTCTCAAACTTGCCTCAGTAGATTGGTAAACAAGTAAGTAGAAAATATATGCAGTATTTGTGTTGTTATCTCTCTACTTATCCATTCTCTGTAGGGTTACAGGCGTGTAAGTAGACATTTGAAATTGTATGCAGTATTTATGTTGTTATATCTTTATACTCATCTATCCTCGGTAGTACAGATAACTCTCCGCCTATCCGTTTTCAGGAGGGTGGTAGACGAGTAACGAGAAAATGTATGGACTATTTTATTAGCTTTCTACCCAGCCCTCCACTGAAGGGTGGTGGACTGCTAAAATTACATAAATGCAACAAATAATGTTTTCAAAAATGGTTTGTTAAAATATTATTTTTCATACTTAGATATAAAACTAAGAAAAACTTTTTTATAAATAGTTAAAAAATAGATATATTAAAGGAAGAAGAAATGGATACCAGAAGCTAACACAGTGTTCTGCAAAGAAACTAAGATTATAAATATTATGTTCACCAATAACGTCCTTCCTAGAAAGAAATGATTTATTATAGGGCCCATGAAATAATTATTCATATCCTCGATACATGGTTTTGCATTTATGATAATGTATTGGTTATTTACATGAGATTACGTTACCACTGGAGAAGGGCGTCAGTATTCTGAGACAATCCTACCTGATGGTGGCATTTCCATTCATCTTATATGCCTTAATGGTCATTTCTACCAAAGCAAACTCATTCATTGTTTATTACATTTTGATACTCTCAGACTATGATAGACATTGTGGAACCATATGAATCTGCTTGTTGTGCATGGCCAACGCAAGAGCACGTACTATGCAATCTGAGATGCAGGCCTGTCAACTGTCCGGAATATTTACACGAATTGCGTATGTCGCGTATATGTCACGCATTTGCTTCGATTTTGGACCAATCATTTTAGGTGTTCCCAAGCAGTTGATTAGTTAGATTTCAATTTCTTCTCGATCTACCTTAATTATATATTCCTTTCAAAATGTTAGATTTGGCCCAATGGAGAAGAAATGATAAATTCAGAGAGCTAACTTAAAATGGTTGTTATGTTCAATAAAAGATGATATATCGCTGTAACAACATTAACCATATTTACTTATCGAATAAAGAACGTTAGAAATTGTTTAACAGATAGGTAATATGAGCTTAATGCGACTTGCTTAGCATTACAAACACTTTTACTGTTCTGCGACACATGTAATAGTTCTTTAATATTAATACTCTCGTTATTTATTTTCTACTTGAATTTGAGCCTCTTCGTCAAAGCTACATAGAATTCAAAAAATGTTGTTCAAGATTCAGTCAGATTAAGAAAATAAAAATTTCATCAGATGTCAGAAACTATAGAAAAATCAAAACCTTTAGAGAAGCCTAAAGATGAAAATAAATAGGGATGTAGTCTCAGATCTCTATTTATCTGTTCATCTTTGATTAATGGGAGAGAATGGTATAAAGCATATTGAAAAACGTCTATAATAGGATTATTGGCCAGATATAATACACCCTTGTTCTTAAGAAAATAGGACATCTAAATCGATATGTTATAATATATATCATCTTGGTACTCATCATACGTTTATCTTTGAAGAACTACAGAGTACATTGGATGCCTAAGGATGGATCACCACATTTGGAGTCACCTGAGGGGATGGCGTATCAATCACCTCCAACCTTAATGGTCTCATGTCTATCTGATTCCAAAGCTCTCTTTGTTAATGTCTTCCAACATTCTTAAAATCTACTGGTTTTTTTCAGAGCAGTTCTTAGTAATATGTCCCAGAGTGGATAATCCAGGCCTGTTCCCTCGGTAGAGATAACGTGCACGGTTAAGTAACCTCAATTACGAGGCTTGTCTTTGGTTCAATGGATGAACCCGTTAATGCAGCCATCTGTCACAAACCAACAGGGTACCTCGATCATTGACTTGTTGCTATTTCTAGTCTTTGAATGCTAATCCATATAGATTGTTCTGGTATCTGAAAAGCTTATTTTGTTCCATGGGAAAACTAAGGATCACATTACCAATTCCTATTATTTCCATTTCTACATTAATATAACATATCATGAATAAAAAATAGAAATAGGATAAAGAGCCCATCTAATTTTATATATTCCCTTTTAGCATTTCTCTTTGGTCATTAACATTCTCATTTGAGATCGTAATGAAACCCATGATAACATCCATTGCACCAATATTGTATAATTGTTATTGTGTTCATTGCTTACCACAAAGTAGAGGGGAAAATAAAATACAAACTAATTGAAGTGATGGGGAATAAGAGGTCCCGGTGGCAATATTCCTAAAAGTTTCCTGTATCAAAGTGCAATAGAAACACAATAGAAATAATTTATAGTATAGACATCTATTTGCATTTTAGAGTGCGCCTCTGGTGTTCATAATAGCAATGCATATTAGCAACCGAAGATGCCATCTGATAATATTGAATTACATGCAATTCTTGCACGAAGCACATTGAACTGCAGCTAGATAATATTTTTGACATGGCCATGACTAAGCAGAATCAAATATGTATATTACTACATACAAACGACATTGCTTTCTGTCAGAAATACATTGAATTTTATACTTGAATTTCATAGAGATGAATACACTTTAGAATGTCATGGGCGTAAGGTGGCACGAGGCAGTCGGGGTTACTGTCTCGCGCAATTTAATTTACTTCCGACTACAACCCCTGGAACGTTGTCTTTTGTATTGACTAAGAATGTTATGTTATACTTTCAGATCTATGCAACCAAACATTTTCCTATGGGTCTTCACTGGCGCAACCAATGTTCGCAGAACCCTATATTAACCATGCCTTCTACTGCTGGTTCAAGTTCGTTGCAAAACCAAACCAATCTGTTGTCGTCACTATTAATGGGGCCAGCATAGGAAAATATAATCATGAACATAGGAGGTAGGAGTTGATTTATGGAATTAAAGGACGATTGTTAATTGGATAATACTAGAAATTTGTGAAATAGAAACGCCACACACCATTATTACTGATCATTAAGAATGCATTCATTATCAATAGCATCTCATATATAGTGAACATCATGTCTCATTAAGAATGTAATGCCATTGCTCTCTTGAAAAGCCCATGGTCATGCTAAATAATTTGATGTGTAGGATTAATAACATTAATACTAGGTATTTACCATATTCATGAATATTCACTTGTCAAGTCCTGAAAAACACCAAATATAAGACCACTGGTTACATCGAGGCGGATGATGTTTTTAGATAACATTTTGAAAACATAAACCACAAAGTTGTGCCTATTGATGAGCAATCTCGATGAAGCTAATCTAACGTGTTTGTTGTCATGGAAACAATAATGTACAACTAATGATGTGATTTGTTTTCGGGCACCATCTTTTGAAAATATACTTCTGCAAATATGACTATACTTTTGGTCCAATTAAAGGAATTCAGAATGATCTCACCCTTGTTTTTATATAATTTGATATAAACAAATAGATTCTACATATCTGCATTAGCCCCTCATCTATGTGTCTAAAATTGCCGTATCATCAAATCTTATAGGGATTTAAAGGCATTTTACCATTCAACTCCTATAAATCACAGCTAACAGGGAAAATAAAATGTACTAATGACTGGTCACATGACCTAGTAACTGGTGATTAGTACATTTCATCTTCCCTGTTAGCAAGGATTTAGGAAATAAATAAGCCAATGAGCTTTTAGAATACATATGGGATATATAATAATACTGGCTATTGTCTGCTCCCTACTATTGCTGCCTGTAGTATAGTAGGAACAAGGGGTTCCCATGCACCCATAAGGTGTGAATAAGTTACATACATTTTTGTAATCCCTAGGGTGTCTATTTAATGAATTCATTTGTTAACATTGCCAACTAATGTCCCATAGTACTTTTATGGCGGCATTCAGTTACCATGGTTACGCATCTTTAGACATCTTACCTTGGTATCTTAAATCATTTGTAGCTCTGTCATTATTTGGTCTATAGAAATGATATTGGTACCAAATTGAACCTCGTTAAATTTTCAATAAATTTCTGATATTCAATTATGCAAATTATCTAATTTGCATAAATTATGACGTCATCAATCTATTTTTGGTTCAGAATTTCCAACTATAGCAACATATCTATTAGAACTGAGGCCGTATGGCAAAATTTCTGAAAGGTTTTGTCCTTTATTCTATTAGTAGAAGGTATAAGCAACAAAAAAATGAAAACAGATTCAAAATTGAATCAGTATTACGAAAGTTATGTAACTTTCGAGGCAGCTATCGTGAATGTCATTATTTGACAATAATATACATACATCTTACCTTGGAGTCTTGAATCAATGTAGCTTCGCCATTATTTGGTCTATAGAGATGATATTGGTATCTGATTAAACCTTATTAAATTTACTATATAGTTACAATATTAAGTTATGCAAATTAGCTAATTTGCATTAATTGTGACGTCATCAATTCATTTTTGGTTCAGAATATCCTAGTATAGCAACATATCTATTAGAACTGAGGCCGTATGACAGAATGTGTGCATAGTTTTGTCCCTTATTTGATGAGTGGAAGATATAAGCAACATTAAAGAGACAACAAATCTTCAAAATTGGATCAGAATTAACAAAATTATCCAGCTTTGGAGGCAGCTCCTGTGAACGTCATTGTTTGACAATTATAAAAAGAATATTAAATTAACAAAAAAAGTAACAACCATAGTTGTTTCAATCTTATTGAGTAAAAATGTGCATGTATTGAACTGAACTAATAAGTATGTGGAAAGGTTACATGTATTTTGACTATCATTCACAGGGGTCAAAACGGTTATCTCGACCCTGTATATTAAAGATCCAATTTTATAATTTACCATGCACTTTCAATGATTCATATAAATAGTATACATATAGTCTGATTTTCATCATATTCTTCATATTCTTGATTCTTAAAGTATCTGAAGTATAAAGCATGATTAGAAGTGAAGATGATTCATCATATGGTTTATGTAATATTTCTTACATTTCAGATGATATGGTAACATCACTTGATAATGAGGTTTTTACATTTCACGTTCTTAATGAGTTAAAAGAAAGTTATTCTCCCTTTGCTTTAGAGATAAATAGTCACATGAATTTGTTTAGAAAAATTATAACTTAATTTAACCCCCTCCTGACAGCCCCCATATTTGAAGATTTTGGTGAAACCTGGCAAAATACATTAATTATTAGGTTCCAGAAGCCCCCAGAAGCTATATGATGGCCCCCAGTGGCCCAAGAATCTATACAGGGGCCCCAAGTGGCCCCCAGAAGGTATACGATGGCCCCCAGAAGCTATACAAGGGCCCACAGAAACTATACTGTGGTCTCCAGAAGCTATATGGTGGCCCCCAGTGGCCCTCAGAAGCTATATGATGGCCCCCAGAAGCTAATTAGTGGCCCCCAGGAGCTATATGGTGGCACCCAGAAGCTATACAGGGAACCCCAGTGGCCCCAAGAAGCTATACGATGGCCCCAAGAAGCTATACAGCAGCCCCCAGAAGCTACACGATGGCAACCAGAATCTATATGATGGCCCCCAATGGCTCCCAGAAGCTATACAGGGCCCCCAGTAGCCCCTAGAAGCTATACGGTGGCCCCCAAAGCTATATGGTGGCCCATTGGGGGACACTGTATAGCTTCTGGAGGCCATCGTATAGCTTATGGGGGCTACCGTATAGTTTATGCGGGCCCTTGCATAGCTTCTGGGGGCCATCTTATAGCTTCTGGGAGCCACTGGGGGCCCCTGTATAGCTTCTGGGGGCTACAGTACAGTTTCTGCAGGCCCTTGCATAGCTTCTGGGGGCCATCGTATAGCTTCTGGGAGCCACTGTGGGCCCCTGTATAGCTTCTGGGGGCCACTATATAGCTTTCTGGGCCACTGAGGGCCACCGTATAGCTTCTAGGGGCTACTGGGGGGCCCTTTATAGCTTCTGGGAGCCATTGGGGGCCACCATATAGATTCTGGGGGCCATTGTGTAGCTTCTCGGAACCACCATGTAGCTCCTGAGGGTCACTATTTAATTTCTTGGGGCCATCATATAGCCTATGAGGGCCACTGGGGGCCACCGTATAGCTTCAAGGGGCTACTGGGGGCCCTTCACATCTTCTGGGAGCCATTGGGGGCCATCATATAGATTCTTGGGGCCATCATGTAGCTTTTTGGGGCTCCTGTATAGCTTCTGGGGGCCATCCTTTAGCTTCTTGGGGCCACTGGGGTCCCCTGTATAGCTTCTGGGAGCCACTGTATAGCTCCTGGGGGCCACTAATTAGCTTCTGGAGGCCATCATATAGCTTCCGAGGGCTACTGGGGGCCACCATATAGCTTCTGGAGACCATAGTATAGTTTCTGGGGGCCCTTGTATAGCTTCTGGGGGCCAAAGTATAGCTTCTGGGGGCCCCCATGTAGCTTCTGGGGGCCACCGTATAGCTTTTTGGGGCCACTGGGGGCCCCTGTATAGCTTCTGGGCGCCACCGTATAGCTCCTGGGGGCCACAGGGTTTCCTGTATAGCTTCTGGGAGCCACTGTATAGCTCCTGGGAGCCACTATTCAGCTTCTGGGGGCCAACATATAGCTTCTGGGGAGCACAGTATAGCTTCTGGGGGCCACTTGAGGCCACTGTATAGATTCTTGGGGCCACTGGGGGCCATCATATAGCTTCTGAACCCATTAATTAATGTATTTTGCCAGGTTTCACCAAAATCTTCAAATATGGGGGCTGTCAGGGGGGGGAGTTAAATTAATTAAGTTATAATTTTTCTAAACAAATTCATGCGACTATTTATCTCTAAAGCAAAGGGAGAATAACTTCCTTTTTAACTCATTAAGAACGTGAAATGTAAAAACCTCATTATCAAGTGATGTTACCATAGCATCTGAAATGTTAGAAATATTACATAAACCATATGATGAATCATCTTCACTTCTAATCATGCTATATACTTCAGATGCTTTAAGAATCAAGAATATGAAGAATATGATGAAAATCAGACTATATGTATACTATTTATATGAATCATTGAAAGTGCATGGTAAATTATAAGATTGGATCTTTAATATACAGGGTCGAGATAACCGTTTTGACCCCTGTGAATGATAGTCAAAATGCATGTAACCTTTCCACATACTTATTAGTTCAGTTCAATACATGCACATTTTTACTCAATAAGATTGAAACAACTATGGTTGTTACTTTTTTGTTAATTTAATGTTCTTTTTATAATTGTCAAACAATGACGTTCACAGTAGCTGGCTCCAAAGCTGGATAATTTTGTTAATTCTGATCCAATTTTGAAGATTTGTTGTCTCTTTAATGTTGCTTATATCTTCCACTCATCAAATAAGGGACAAAACTATGCACACATTCTGTCATACGGCCTCAGTTCTAATAGAATGTTGCTATACTACGATATTCTGAACAAAAAATGGACTGATGACGTCACAATTAATGCAAATTAGCTAATTTGCATAACTTAATATTGTAACCATATAGTAAATTTAATAAGGTTTAATCAGATACCAATATCATCTCTATAGACAAAATAATGGCGAAGCTACATTGATTCAAGACTCCAAGGTAAGACGTATGTATATTATTGTCAAATAATGACATTCACGATAGCTGCCTCGAAAGTTACATAACTTTCGCAATACTGCTTCAATTTTGAATCTGTTTTCACTTTTATGTTGCTTATACCTTCTACTAATAGAATAAAGGACAAAACCTTTCAGAAATGTTGCCATACGGCCTCAGTTCTAATAGATACGTTTGGAAATTCTGAACCAAAAATAGATTGATGACGTCATAATTTATGCAAATTAGATAATTTGCATAATTGAATATCAGAAATTTATTGGAAATTTAACGAGGTTTAATTTGGTACCAATATCATTTCTATAGACCAAATAATGACAGAGCTACAAATGATTTAAGATACCAAGGTAAGATGTCTAAAGATGCGTAACCATGGTAACTGAATGCCGCCATAAAAGTACTATGGGACATTAGTTGGCAATGTTAACAAATGAATTCATTAAATAGACACCCTAGGGATTACAAAAATGTATGTAACTTATTCACACCTTATGGGTGCATGGGAACCCCTTGTTCCTACTATACTACTGGTTGTAATGTAGTTTCGTGCATTGGATTTTCCTTGTGTGGTTTACTGTCATTGATATCTAGCTACAGCTCTGAATTAATCCCCTGCGCTGTTGGCTGATCATGCATATGCATATGTTTGCTGTTTCAGATGCGAGCGTGGATCGATCAGAATGATCGATGGTTCATCCTCTGCTGACAGTGGTAATATTTTGCCAGACACAGTGATTTGTGGTCAGTTTAGGCATGGTCAAATCAAACTGAAGAAGGTCACATACAGCCATACAGCATTTGTAGAGTTTAGATCAAACAAGCTTAGGAAACACAATAGTTTTGACATTTCTGTAGACTTTGAAGACATTGATCGTATAGGTAAGTCAAAGTGTCTCTCCAAACTGTTAATTTATAAGAGCTTTAATTTACGATACACTTCAGTTATTGTATAATACCACTTATGATTGGAAAGGGAGAAATAAGATGTATGATGTTGGATCAGATGCAGAGCGCAGACAAAATCGCTCCAATCCGATCGAAATTCAATATTTGCCAAAGTGTCCCGCCATTCCGAACCACGTAGGTGGTAGACGTTCGCTTTTGCTGTGTTTGCAGTGTTCATGGCCATATATGCCTGGTCTTATGGATTCAGATGTCATTCACTGATTGAAGGGTGCCAAAGAGTCATCCACTAGTTTCAAAATGTAAGCGCAAGTGCCAACGGGAAAGAGCTAAAAATGGTTACCCTACTATCACACCAAACTAGTTCTCACTACGTTCTCGAAAACGGGCTTCAACTGTGTACGAGCGGACTGGACGTACTTAGAACCGGTTGGGGTCTATTTACAAACTTCATAGAACGTACTCGAACGGGCAGGTCCTCTAGATTGACACCAAGCAAGTTGCCACTACGTTCTTCAAAACTGGTTTTAAACTGTGTGCGAACGGAATGAACGTAGCTACAATGTTCTACGGTCTGTTTACGAACTTCATGGACTTTCCCGGACGGGGAATGTTATTTAGAATTTTGAATCGATTCAAAATTCGATGACGACCATACCGTTCTATAATCAGGTCATGATGACCTTCTAGACTAATGGACGCATTATACGACGTTGCACACCGTCGTGGTGCGACCTGAACGAACTGCGAATGAGATGGACGTATTGAAGACTGTTTATGAACGAAGTAGCTAATTATTTTAGACATATTTCCCGACCACAGTCAGATTGAGCCCGTTTTACGACGTTTTCGTAGGACTGGCAAGAACGGGTAAGAACTAGTTTGGTGTGATAGGGGGGTTACAGAACACAGCAAGAAAAAGAAAACATATGAGCGTACAACAGTCTTAAGAAAACAAACCCCAACTATCCCAAATCATAATCCAGTGTGAAAAGAACAGTAGGGAAGAAGTTATTCTGGATCTTCAGATCCCTGTATTCCGAGGATGCTGAAATCTATAGACGTGGCATTGTGGCCATGGTCAATGATATATCCTAATTCTATATTATTGTATATTTGTTTACAGATATGACGCCAAGTCCTGAGTATACTTTTGGCGATTTAAAATACCAAAATGGTCTTGTAGAAAATTCCGGTAAAGTAATTTATTTCTACATATCTAGTATGTATTTTATATTTTCTATATTTTTGAAAATAATCATACAAGTTAAAAGACTTAAAATCAAAACGATTTATATGTGTTTTTCGATCGATTTCAGTTTGTGATTGGGAAATTCCTGTCGAGAGATGTTATGGCAAATGTAGAATAATGTCTCCTGGTTATCCGGGTATTTATCCACCAAATACACGATGCAAATACAAGATAACTAATAATGAAGAACAGCAGAGAGTAGAATTACAATTAGGAGGTCCATATAAATTCTCATTGTATAAAAGGTATTTCAGATTCACTTGAGTCACTAAAACTCTTTAACTTAATTATAAATCTAGATCACAAAGTCACTTGTACTCACTATTGGTGGATTTGTATGTTGCAAACAAAAAAAACAAAAGAACCCCACCATGCAATAATTCAAGAAGAACTCATCGAGTCGTGTGCTTATTTAGCTTATTTTTCCAAGTATGTAATTATCTAATTCACATATAATTCAATGCAGTCATGAACCAAACGACAGCTGCAGAGAAGATTATGTTATGATATATGACGGTGCTACTGAATCTTCTCCATTTCTTGGACGATTATGTGGCATAGGAGACGCTGCACACGTGATATCATCCGGGTCCCACTTGCTTTTAGTCTTCAACAGTGGTCCTGGAAGCCCACCGTGGAATTACGTTGGCTTCGATGGTAGAGTCAATGATCGATGGGCAAGTGAGTGCTGTAGAATGGTATTTAAGGAATGAATAATATAATAAATGCACCGTCGCTCATGTATGGAGAATTAGAGCATGGCTATGCTGCATTCTGATTGGTTTAAAAAGTCACTTAGGGAACGGTCATATTTGCATTCATTATTTTGGATGATATTGAGCTAAATATTCTATCTTCATTGTAGAAATCTATAGTTTTGATTTTCAGTTGTTACTTTCTATACTTTCATCCACAGGTTCACACGCTGGTGGTATCAAGATGGAAAACACATCATGCGATTGGCAGTTTAAATCAAGTGACAATAACAAGGAGGGGGATATGCATTTTCCGGACTACCAACTGCCCACAGAGTCAACTTGCTTAGCTACTTTCATATCACTGCCCAAAGAAATAATAGAAATCACTGTCAAAGTGTCTCACCTCAGGTAAAGTAGGAACATCAAAGTTTCCAACCCCATCAAACATCAAACCCCATTCATCATTACATATCTGTAGTCACTAATTAGGGTTGAATAAAAGAAAAATTATTTATCTATCTAGTCTAGCTACACGCCTCTGTGACCCCCCTCTACTTGACTAAACACCTTCTCACACAGACAGTCACTTGTGTGCAAGGTCTTGTGGTTGGACTAATTTTATCTTGGTTGCGTTACACCATGTTTTGGTAAAATACACAAATGGATACAGAAGAGTGAATATCCCAACTCCCTTTAACAAACAGTCCACATTATTGAATGGGATGAAATGTTAATGTTACAGAGCTGAATGTGAAGAATTTGTCGAAATAAATGATGGGACACGTGTTGTTGACAAAATATGTGAAGATAGGCTTGCTGGAAGGCGTAAGCTTGACCTAACATACAACACAACTAACGCCCAATTTGCTGTTCGTTACACAAATCATGGAGGTCAACTGTCCAATCCTATACCAATATGGATAGAATACAAATTCATCTCAGGTAAGTTGACTACCTTTCTTCATTTATATGTCACCAACAGAAGTGGTGACAAATTGTTATAGTCTCCAACCTTTTTTGGACGGTGTACGGCGGTCGGAAGTTGGTTTTCGGCGGTTACGTTCGGCGTCTGTAATAAATGACAGGTTGTGACACTTTGCTTGTTAATGCCTTGATGACAACTCGTATTCTTGACTATTTACCTTCAAACGAATGTGCGGAGCCATACGACTGTCAGGTATTTAACTCATTCTGAATTACACCCGAATTTTCTTTTAAACACCCAATTCAAACACCCAAATCATGACTACCAATAGGCATCTTTAAGATCAATCCCACTTAGTTCCCTTTTAAATACGTGTACTATGTTAGAGGAGGGAGTCTCTTGTGGTAACAGAACTGATATACATCTATCGACATTATGTCCATCTCTTTAAGCTTATGAGGATCCTACCTTTGATATGTGTCATAAAGCAAACTTTTGATAACGAAACGTGCGTTGTTATGGTGGCAGTTGTGGAATGTGCGATTATTTTATTTATTGCATTAATTGTTACAGTTGGTGGCAGCGGTGTAAAGAAATTTAATATTTTTGTCAATATTGATCACGCTGCATATGGAATGGTTCTGGAATGGTTGATACAATTCTACTTTAACCGTAAATAAAAGTAACACAGATTGTTTTCAAATGGTAGCTCAACTCTGACCGAAATTATTTTATATTTACAGGTGAAAAGAACGTTAGATATCATGTAGCCGCTAGCAACAATAAAGAAAAGACAACAGGCGTGACAAGTTCATCAACAATAAATCACGCCTCAGCTCCAATAGTTGCAGTTTTATATATTTCCTTCGTGTATATACTTATGAACCAATTAATCGCTACATTCGTTTGATTAAGTGCACCTTCTTGTAAGACATTTGTGTCAGAGACATACTTTTGTATCTTTTCATCATATTTCTATGGACATTTGTATATAATCCAGTGCTACATATGTACATTAAGTTCGGCTACTGTAAGGAATATTTGTTCCATTATTTCAAGTTTAAAGACTGTTGGTGAACATGTATGGGTCCCATGTCGGGAGTAAAGTATGTGTTATTTGAAAATACCGCGATTTACCTGTGCATCTTGTGCGATCAGTTCATTTATTAGTTCCTATGCGCATGCAGTTTTGATTTTTTCAATTGTTTTTTATTTTATGTAGTTTAATTCGTGTAGATACAAAGATACGAAAGCTAAAGTATTTGTAAATTGTATATATTGCGACTCTTATGTATAAACTGTATAATATATTATTATGATTTGCTTTGAATAAATATTTGCTGTATTTTTATAAATCACGTGTTACTATATTGCAAAAATAAGTAGTATTTCGACTTTATCCTGGAAAACATGATATAGGATCGCATTAGAACTTAGAAGGCAATAATGCGATGTAATACATTATATACATGGATACTTTGCAACAGAGTCCATGTATTATAGCACTTTGAGAAAGAACCCCGTTACCATAATTAAAAGTACCTACTTTTTATTGTTGTTACTTTGATATATAAGTTTATTTAAAGTTTAAGATTTCTTTGGTATTATGTTGTCAAGAAAGTAGAAATAAATTTTCTAGTTTGAGGTTTTAAAGGCCCACTATACTTAATTTAGAAGAAAAAAAGAAAAAAGTTATCATTGAAACATATTACTCACACACTCGCTCAAATATGAAACAAAGTTTGATTTGCTTTAATATTGAACCAAGAAAATAATAACTCGCACAGAAAAAAGCATTTGAAGTTCCGAGATCATTAGACATGCATGCGCATGCTAAACAAATTGCATATTTTTAATTACTTTTGATTTAAAAAATGGCGACACTTCTATAAAAATGAATGTATCATGTAATACAAACAACTTCGCCATCTTTCAATGACATTGATAAAAACTTGATATTATATAAAGCTTGACAGATCGAAAATATTTTTTGATTAATTATTGTAAGCTTTGGTTTGGTTTGTTTGAGCTGTTGTTGGTGTCAAATGAAAGATAGGGTTCTTATCAATACATTGGACATTCTATAGAATTCAAATAAAAGTCTTTATTTTGCCCCAAAACATTGAAAATACGCAAAGTGGGTCTTTAATTTACCTCCCACGTTTTGAAAAGGAACGTCCCTATGTTTGCCCCGCCTTCACGAGCGAAACAAGATGGCATTGCAGTCAGATTTCTTTAGGTATTTGTTTCATTATAATACTTCTTTTGACCTTCCCCATATACAGCCGACAATAGTAACTTTTTCCATCCGACTCCTACCAAATTCTTGCTTGGAGTCTACAGGAGAGCTACCCATATGGCTGCATATGGGGAACTGGAAAGGTATTCGCTATTAATAAAAAATATTTGGACAAATACTCAATTTCTTACAACGCAAAATGGACTAAAATTTCTTCAAATCGGCTTTGATTGGTCTAAAGAAGTAACAGAAAATTCACTTAGCTTTGAAAACATTTGCGGCCCTAAAATCAAAAATTGGGCCCACATTCTGAAAAACTAAGGTCCACTTTTTGTTAAATTGGCCAAAAAGGCAAAATTATGCCCAAAAATACCCATTTTTGAGGGCCTACAAAATTTTGGGCCCAAAAACTAAAAAATCTCTGCCCCCGGAACCGCCACTGAGTATGGTTGTGTTTAACATTCTTTGAACACGATTATTTTCATAAATACTTCCACCCTATTTAAATTATTGTATAGCTATAGGCCTAAATTTAATACAAACAAAGCTATGAATCATATTGCCTACTTAACTGTGCGGACGTTTCACTTGACCAACTTACAATATTTACATTTAAACATTAACAAGGAAGTGAGCAAGGTCATCTTGGATAAAAAAAATCAAAACTGGGAAACGAGTATGGAGTAAGGTCGGATGAATCATTTTTCTAAGAAGTATACAGATAATTTGTTGAACCCACCTCATGAGAAAATGGGAAACACAAGTAAAATACAACCCGGAGAGACATGATATACTTAACATATAAAATCTGACTCTGAGGACAACACACAAAAGGAGATTCACTAATTTGAATAAGTGTGGACACTTTTATAACACTAGCAGATCTTTGGATAATGTGTAAAATAACGTCATGTTGTTGCTGCAAACTGCCAGTTGCAGTCATAGTTCAGTCGGCCATCCTACTGGTAAGACATATACATTTCTTTCACAGTAAAACCTGTCAAATCCGAACACTGGGACTGACCGATCGAGTGATTGGATTAACAGGTGTTCATATTTCAAGGTTTCTTTAATATGTGAGTCAATTGGAATGTTAAGTGGTCAGATTTCGAGGCGTCTGGATATACAATTTCATCATGTACTTGTATCATTCCCTTTCTATTATTTTGCTTTGATCAACTAAAACTAATAAGGCTATCAACCTCTGAGCCTCATGGTAAGTCACAACCGTCACAGAGATTTCTGTCCCGTCTGAATCGGCTTTTCCAGGTGGTATAGTATAGTAATTATCAATACTATGAATACTAATACCCAGAACACCATAATTCTACACATTCGGGTACATTCTTTTGAAAACGTGAATCTTAATCTCCCTATTATAACAACTTCCTCATGTGTATTTCTTCTCGTGTAGGCACTCTCTGTGGGCGGAATGGCCTTGAGTGGCTCTTTGGCGGGGTCACTTTCGCCATCCATGGAATCTAACTCGGGTTCTAATCAAACAGAGTCCATTGATGCATCAACAAGTAAGTGAAGTATTGTCTACTGTTAAGATTATTGTTACGAATACAGTATTAATAAAAGCTCATCATTTGAGCACATGGTGACATAAAAGACTACAACCCAATATCCCAAAACGAAGCAAATGCACAAGTGGGGCCAAGAGGGTAAATTACAAACATAAGTTGAGGGACCCAGTCCTACGAAAACGTCGTAAACGGGCTCAATCTGGCTGTGGTCGGGAAATATGTCTAAAATAATTAGCTACTTCGTTCATAAACAGTTTTCAATACGTCCATCTCATTTGCAGTTCGTTCAGGTCGCACGACGTTGATGTGCAAGTCGTATAACGCGTCCCTTAGTCTAGAAGGTCATCATGACATGATTACAGAACGGTATGGCCGCCATCGAATTTTGAATCGATTCAAAATTCTGAATCACATTCCCCGTCCGGAAAAGTCCATGAAGTTCGTAAAGAGACCGTAGCACATTGTAGCTACGTTCATTCCGTTCGTACACAGTTTAAAACCAGTGTTGAAGAACGCAGAGGCAACTTGTTTGGTGTGATAGCTATATTTTTGCTAACGCGTCCATAAGCAGTCTTAAATACGTTCTTAATCAGTTTAAACCCGTTTGCAAGTAGTTCTACCTTGTTCTCAATAGGTCTTCAGATAGTGCAACTCGTTGTTAAAACGTCCCTAGTAGGATTGAAGTACGACGGTTCCGTTCGTAGCACGTCCAGCTCGTCGTTAGTACGTTGTCACTCGTTCTAATTGTAGAACGTATCGACCACGAGAACATTTTGAGCATGTTGTAAGTTCTATCAGAGGACCTACCCGTTCGAGTATGTTCGATGAAGCTTGTAAATAGACCCCAAACGGTTCAGTCCGTTCGTACACAGTTAAAGCCCGTTTTCGAGAACGTAGTGAAAACTAGTTTGGTGTGATAGTAGGGTTAGGTAATATAAACAAACAAAAACGGGACAATATAAAACACGAGGGTAATCTATTTAGAGACGAAAACAACAAGCATGAGTTGAATAATCACATTTGTAAATGTTCTTTCAGATGCAACGTTAACTCCATTTTATGCTGTGTCCGTAATGGTATGCCTCGTATATGCATTACTTGGCATATTCTCTCTACTTGGCATCCTAGCCACAATCAAGGTAACGCATGAAATAAAATGTAACAAGTATGAGAAAATAAATTTATAAACAGTACAATTCTTCACAAAATGAACATGTGCCTGGTTCTGTTTTTATCAGTTTATTGTCTCTATTTCAACAAAATACTATTTATTGCATATATTAAAACTGAAAATACATCTATGAAATTCCTGGGCGGATGTCAAATTCAGATATTGGTATTTTAACACTAATGTCTCGTGCGTGTGACTCGCAAAAAGAAATGAGGTCTAATAAAATACGATACATAGTTTATTAAAAATATCACCCCAGAATAGCCTGACAACGGTAAAGTCAGAAACCGTTCATGAACTGTATGTTTAATAGAGCACCTAGACTAAATTCATTTGGAACAACAAACAATCAAAGTGTCTTGATACTCATTGTACAGTTAATAATGTTCTACCATCGAAATAAAGACTTTAATTTAACCGATCAAAATGAGATACGGGACAACGGACACTGTAATTACTGACTATGCCGTAATCTTTCTAAATTCTCAAATTCAGATTCCGTTGTCATTGATGATATCGAAGAGACGCTATATTTTGGCGATTCACGACCCAATTTGATCGAAAATGGGATTCCATATGATACATTATCACAAGAGCTTAATGCATGCACATGAGGACCAAGTGTTTAAACAGTTGAAGCGACGGTTATGTCCGCCATTTGTGACAACAGTATCTGACTTTACCGTAGTCAGGCTATTCCGTTGTGAATATGATAAATAATATTTGCTTATTTCTTTCATATAGCGAATAACATGGCTGCTGCAGGCGTACTACGTGATGCTCGTATTACAAGCAATATTCTTCTCTGTCGCTGGTGTCATTGTCGGTCTCTTGACATTTCTCCTCTGTAAGTTATCATCAAATCTTCAAATCCAATATTTATGTCACCACCACAAGTGGCGGCATTATGGTCTTCAACTTTTTTGTGGACGGTGTTCGGCGCATGGTGGTCGGCATCCGGCTGTCGGCGTCTGTAACAAATGACAGGTGGTGACATTTTGCATGTCAATGAAATGTTTTGATTTAACAAAGTTTTGCAACCTGATGTGTTAGGCTGCATGTAACCGAGGTCTTGTATATCGCACATATTATGAGTAACCGATCGAATGTTATTATGATGTTTTCTGAACTCAATGTTACTATTTTCAGGGTTCCTGCTAATATTTATACCAGGAGTAGCGGGATTCTTTGTGCCACTGGTGCTTATAAATATTATAACATTTTGTATTGTGGTAAGTTCTTATACTGTATAATATTATTTAATTGTTTTTCTCTTTCAATTGAAACTAGTTCAATTTTTTGGGTCACGCCTAACACCCCAGTCACATTTTGTCGCACGGCGGCCGCAAGTCGACCGCAGATCAATTAAATCGGTGAATTTCTGCGACGAGCGTAGAAAAACTACGCTCGCCTTGCGGCCTCCGTACGGCGTTTGCAGATTTTTACAGGCCGCAGGGAAGGCGTAGAAATTATAACTCGGAGTTATAATTTTTGTTTATTTCTGAGGTCGCCGTAGAAATCAACTGGCTCAACAAGATTGAATCATTATTTGTCAATGTTTCACGATCACTTTTCATTTGATATTACATCCTAGCACTATGAATAACATTTATAAGTTGTCCCGATGTAAATAAAATGAAAAAGGTATTATTTATCAACAGAAATTTAAAATTCACCGTGCGGCTGCCGTGGGAAATGTGACTGCAAAAGTATGAGAGCGCAGAAATTCCACGACGAGCGTAGAAATGTTACTGGCCGCAGAAATGATAGACCGCAGGTCGCCGTAGAAAATGTGACTGGGGTGTAAGAGTTTCATCAATAGCATTTTCATCCAGAAGATAGAATTTCAGATGTGTACGTTTATTTGATTTTGTTCCAGATACCAGCTGCTGTCTGTGTTACTAGCTACAGGTCTTTTCTTTTCGATGGGGCAGAGCCCAAACCCTCCCAAACTGTAAGCATTAATCTTACTTCAAGACCAAAAGGGCAAAGGCTAGGTTTAGATTAATTCACCAATGCGAAGTTTCTGTAAAAGTAGCAGTTGTTGTGGAAAAAGACGAATGATGAGAGGAATCTTTTCAAAAAATATAGTTTATACAAATACAATCCTTATTTTTAATCTGAAAACAGAAGGACGAGCATTGAGCAAATTAATTTGATAAATTGTTGCCAGATAACCTTTAAAATCATAAATTATCATGAATCGTAGTTAAATTAACATGAAATAAGTAAGAACTGTTGGGCATAACTTGGCATGACATGGATTCTTGTTATCTTTGTTTCGTCTTGAATATATACAATGGTTTTTGTTTAAAAATTGCTTTAATAAAATGTTCAACCACCGTTCAAAATTTTGAACATCTTTCTCCAGATTATAATGGCTACATATCCCGACCCGGAATACAATATTGCAGTACCTACAGAGAAGTATCCAACAATAACAACTACTGCAGTGGAATATCAAGAAGCTACTAGCCAGGGAATGCAGCATTTATCCTCCAACGAGAGGATGGAGCAACCAGTAAGCCCGGATCATCAATATAATTATCCTTCGTTTACTGGCCCCCCGGTACCAACACAGCCACGGGGGCCACCAACTGTTGAACAGACTTCACATAATGACAGCCCAACACCTGAGCAACAGCAGAATAGCCAAGGCTATGTTGGAACACGAGAGGATTATTTGACAATGGGGACTCAGCAAGAACATTTGGTGATAATACCTAATCAATCTGCGCCATACTACAATATTGAGGAACCACATCGACCCCTTAATGGGACAAATAATATTGAATCAACTTCTCAAGATTCTAGTGATGTTTACCTTGAACCTCAAGAACATTACGAGCAACTAAGTGCAGCTAAAGCCGGAGATGTGTATGAAACTCTACCATAGACTATGAACAATTGGAATCAAGCTAGGATGAAGAACTTCTTCATCTTATGAACCAATGTTCCAAGAATGACATCAATAGTGATAGTGGTTTAGCTATAACGTTTGAGATATTATGGGCTATGGGAGGATATGAATCTCTACCAAAGCTACGAATGGCAAAGGTCTCCCTGTTTCTTTTTTCAACTGTGACCATATTTCAGGGTAGCGTGTAATTTTAGAATCTTCGCCAGGGCGCAGCACCAGGTTGCCCAAATAGTCGAATATTACGTTTACATTTACGTTTGTATCCATGATCAAGGAAGCGTAGTTCTCTCAATTTCAAGTTAAAGAACCGGTATCTTTAGCCAGTGCTTCTAGAGGTAGACTGTTTCAGACAGTTAACTCTTCCGAGTTCTCGGAGTCATTGTAACCACAATTTTTTTAATTTTAAGTGCCAGATTTCCTCGTTAAAAATTGATTGATCATATCATTGTATATATCCAAATATTTTTTGCAATCCTACTGCTAGTGATATGATTATGTTTCAATGTTAACTTCTGCCCAACCAGTTAAATGGAAAGGTTAAAATGTAATGATAAACAAATGCAATATTTCATTATTTGTGTATTTTACAAGGATTAATCTTTTGGAAAAAACAAGGGAACCTATATAGACCCTTGCTGAAGTACCCAATGATCTCAGACACACTCCAATTGATTGACGCCCAGCAAATGTAAAAAATATTAATACAGGGCGTTCAATAAGTACTGATAAAAACGCTGTAACTTTTATTTTTTCATATATCTGACTAATTTTTTCTAGTGTGCATTGTTGAGTATTATACTGATGTACTGTGAAAGTAACAGGAATGTGCTCCAACAGGAAGGTGGTGCTGAGTTAAAGGCGGTTAGTGGCCATGGTGGATTAGGTATGCACGAAAAAAATCAAAATGACCAACTTCTAGAATATTGCTCCTCAGTCAATTGCTTGCGCACAAACTTGTCACACATCAATGTCATTTCTAAAACATTATGAATATAACATGGTGTGTGCGACCAACACTTGAATCAGTCATGTCTGCAATTTTTCTAATAGAAATTCATCCAATATTTTTGTTAATGCATCAATCTGACTTGGGAAGTTACAGCTTTTAGTCACCCCTGTCTGGGTTCAACTAAGTTTAACTGACTTTCACCCTCTTTAAAATAGCGGAATCATTACCAACGATATGCCATGCCAGGGGTACATAGATATAGTGTCCTTGTATTCTAATGAATTGCTCCTTGATGTCATTTGCTCCGCACAATTTGCTCTTTGATGGCATCAGTAGGTGCTGCCAAGGTATCTTAGTACCAGCGTTTATTTACCAATTGTCAAAATGGATTAAAAAATAAAGTAATATATGAAAATCTTCACATTTTAAGTCTGTTATTTAGATTTTTTCGTGCAGACCTGAACCACCACAAGCCACATTAGGCTAAACACAGTACCACCTTCCTGTTAGGGTACATTCTTGTAACTCCCACAGTACATCAGTACAATACTCAACAATGTACAGTAGAAAGTCCCAAAATATTAAAAATTACAAAAGTTACAGCATTTTTATCAGTACTTATTGAACACCCTGTATAATGAAGGTCTCAATAATCAATTCCAATGTAAGCACAGTCAGACAGCGAAACCTGTATATCTGAACACCTCTAGATGTGAACACGTTTTCCCAATCCCAAAATTAAACTCCATTTCCATTGGATGTTTATCAAACGTTGAAACGTGAACACATGTGAATGTGATTAATTAGCCAGTATTTAAACACATACATTTCTTTCTTTTTTGAGCTGATTAGTTCAAAAATGTGGTAATGAGAACATTATTGAACACCCCTCATATGCATGTAGTTATTGTGTATTGTACATGCATGTACTACATTAATTGGTGTTCATACATTTAATAAATCAAAATACAATCAACATTATAGCCTTAATCATATTTTATTCTGATGAATCATCTTCAAGAAATTTACATTGCACAAAAACTAAATCCAAACAGGATTATTTTGCAGAACTGCTGAATAGTAATTCTTTCTTCACAATTTTACTTTCCATATTCCTATTCATGGTAATTGTAAGCAGTTTTCCTGAGATTGTTGTCGCACAGTAGACCACTAATACCATCCTTACAGTTCTTTTGCTCAAATAGCCTACATGTTTTTATAACAAATATGATATACCATTGGAAAGATGTTTCTGTGTGATTCTTTTAGTAATACGTTTCTACTGTTCATAATGTTTAATATTTTTATTGCACTAACATAAAGCTTTTTCTTGGGATAAGGATTAAATACTAATAATGCAATTTACAATTTACTGACAATGCAACTTTCGACTGTATTTATTCCAAATTATGTTCAATTCTGTTGCTGTTGTATACATAGGTGTAACTAGCTCTTACATGTTACATGTCTTAACCAATTGAGGCAACTGCTTCAATTTACAGAAAAATATTTTTGAAACAATAACTCAAGAACTTATTCTCTGATTTTTATATCATTTTCTTCATTATCAACGGATCTTTCATTTTACACATGTCACTCACATGTTCCTAGAGCCATTTTACACATGAGTGTCCAATAAGTAACTAGAAAAACAGCAACTCTTTGGAGTAGGAAATCCCACTGAACAAAACATATTCTATCAAATAACTTGTCATTTTTAACATAATATGATAGAATTTGCAATTTTCCAGAACTAGGTGGGTTCAAAACAAGAAGACATTTAAGCAGATGAAAATTACTTGAAATGACTACTTTATCCCTTGAGCATGGATCTAGAGTGCTGTTCTAGTGCCAAGCTGAGACTTGCCAAATGTCTTACAAAGGAAACAGTGCAAGTTTAAAATACAACTAGTATACAATACTAATACTATACTAGGAAATACCGTTCAACTTTCAAGAACTACAAATACACCAAATATAAAGTAAATGTTTATGATTAAAAAAATTAATGACTACAGCTTCATAGCAAAAATTGTTGCCTACTTGAAACACGAAACAGTAAGTTTACATCTAAATAATTGAACTTTACAGTTTTGCACTGTATATGTAAAATATGACAACTAAACTAAAAGTATACATGATGTTGTATATAGAATTTACTCGATATGAGGTTTGGGATATTGGATTATCCTCAAACATAATCATTACCTCTTGCCCTCAGGCAGGTATACAAGGGGCAATCCATATATTTTGAAAGAAATGCTCTCATTTTGTGATTTTTCACATATCCCTCTTATTTTTCAGAACATGTAATTACACATACAATGCTAAAATATTATAGCTATATCTTAAATTAATCAAGAGGCAACGTTGCCATGGTAATCTGTATAAGGGTAGGTAGGTCAATTAAGTTATAACCTATAAACTATCAATAACATGTTAATCATTTTAAAGCATGCGGAAATCATACATTTTTTTAAAATAGTTTGGTATTGTTGTTCGTTGTTTGTTGCTAAACAAATGTTTATTAGCAAAATGGAAACTAGATAACGGCAACTTCATGGAGTAGCAAATCCCAACGAACAAAATATCAATTACCGAATTCCAATCAATTATACTCATAACTTTGGTTAAAATTTAAAAAATTAGATTTTAGAATTGCGAATTCCTGCAAAGCAGCCATTTTGAATTTTCTGAGGTACAAATCTGAAAAATAATACCATAATTGTGATCTACTCAAAAATTCCTTCAATTTGAGTATAATATAGCCATACTTTGAAGGGTAGAAAAATTATAGCGAAATCATACATTAGACAGCCATTTTGAATTTTACGAGGCTCGAATCAGAAAAAAGATGCAATATTTGCAATCTACTCTTAATTGCCTTTCATTTGAGTATAATAAAGCTATACTTCAGAAAGATCTAAAAATTAGCGAAAATTTTTGTTTTCCTGTCCCCCCCATACACGGCCCCTGGGGGTCAGGATGAAAACACAGAATATATGTGAAATAGATAAATGTTGTGAATATACTACCAAAATTTCAAACAATAATATTAATTACTTTGGTTTAGAATGAAAAATTTATGATTTTAGCGAAAAAGTCCCGTCATGTTTAAAGCGGCGGCCATCTTTAAAAAAATTTTTTTGTGTAAGATATTCACCAATATACATCTTTCCACTAAATATGAAGAAAATCCGTCAACTAGTATTTGAGTTATCTTCCGGACAGACGGACAGACGGACTGACTGACTGACTGACGGACATCTTGTAATATATAGATCAGACGGATGGAGGGCTTCACCATATCCCTTTCGAACTTTGTTCGTTGGGATAATCAGCAAACAAGGGCAAAATGGGGTATGGAACAGTTCAATGAATAGTTGGCAATGACCTGAGATGCATTTGATCCGCTTAAAAAAGGTACTGAGGAACAATTGAATTACAAATTGATCTATTTTATATGTTATAATTTAACTGACCTGCCTACCCTAAATACAGCTTACAATGGCAACCGTATCTCAAAATTAATTTAAGATATAGCTATAATAGTTTAGCATTGTATGTGTAATTACATAATCTATATGTTCTGAAAAATTGAGAGGGATATGTGGCCACAATATAATCCCAATATCCAGATCTTCATGAGATGAGTGAGAAGCTAAATATATAATATGGAATTGGTTATAATATTCTCAATTTTATCTATCACCCCCTAGTCAGATGGATTTTTTGAACAAGGTGTCCAAAACATAACAAGACTGAAGAAAAAGTTGATTAACTCGGACAATCTTGAATATTCTGCCTCGAAGTTTCAGAATTATTTAGCTATGGATTTCATTGTGAAAGTTTGATGATAATCTGTCTATGAGTGAAAATCTACAGTAGCATAATAAAACATGCTCCTAGTGGGCATCTCTCCTCTCTATATTTAATTTTGCATAAAGAGAGAGGTGCCCACTTGGAGCATGATTTGTAAGATAATGTAGTTTTTCACTCAAAAGGCAGATGATTATCAAACTTTCACCACCAAATTCACATTGAATCAACTGAATAATTATCAAATTTCCAAGCAGTATATGCAAGATTGGATGAGTTAATTAACTTTTGTTCAGTACTGTTTTTTGGACACCCTGTTACAGGGACTGGAAACCATATGAACAGTGTAAATATGGTTTAAAGTTAAAGCAGATATGAAATGGTATTTTTAACCTAAAGGAAATTTTTTGATAAATGTATTTGGACATGTTTTCTCATCAGTAGTGTGAAAATAAGTTCACTCTAACGATCGTTATAGCATAGCAATCATAGCAATCCTATGGTTGTCGTGACGTTGTGATTACTAAGGAACCAATAAACCAAAGCTATATTTTGTATATGACGTTACTAATCACTGGGGGCCAATTTGATCGATCAGTTATCAGTTCGTTATCTATGACCGTTAGCAGTTATCTAACATTTATTTTATAATGGCAATCGCAAGAACTCTACGTTGGGCTTACAACGGAGAAAACCACATTTTTGCAGCTATTTCAGTTGTCCTTAAAGTAAGAATGTGATCCAGATTTACTGAAACAATTAAATGCCATAAAATATGCACCAGTACCTGAGGGATGCAAGCATTATCCCAAGGCAATGTTTTATGTTGTTCACATTACTGTTCAGATTTAGTTCAGTCAGTTAAATGAGAAAGAACTCCAAAAATCCTTCTGGCATAGACATGACAGATATAACAAATATCATGACAAGTGTTCCTTGCACTATAGAAAAATAGAAAATGGCAACTCCAGGGAGTTGCAAATCCCAACAAATTAATTGTGAATCTGAAATGTACCCTACTGTGCGCAGAGTCTAGTTACTATAAACTACCCTCTGCCTAGTATAGACTATATAACAGTTTAGCAGCCCCGCCCCAACACATGCTAAATGCGTCCTCATTAACTATGCGGTGATGTCCGAGGAAATGACTAAATATAGAAAGTCGACCGTATTTCACTGATGAACTCTGAATGGGTTGGCTAATGGGTATAGGATAAACTACCAAAATTAATGCTCAACACTTTTATTTTTGTGAACATTATTTTCATAAAATCAATATACAACTTTCCACCAGATATGATGAAAATATGTCCATCAGCATTTGAGTTTCAGATGACAGATAGATGGATGAATCTTTATCCCTATCGATCTTTGTTCGTTGGGATAATAAATACACTTTTGCTATAAACTGTATGTACAGTGAGTATATAAAAATATAAAATGACTTATGTACAAATGGTTCAAATGTTGCAATTTGTGGATTGCTTCAAATGTGTATACTGCAATCACATCCTTTCCTGTCCCCTGTTTCCTACATTCCAAGAGATTCAAAAATGAATTGTGGAAAAGACCTGATTCAGGGTGCTCTCAAGAGGCTATTGGAATATAGCTATTTTTAATATCTCTTTTGCCTTTCAAATGGATAATTGTCCCCAATTGCATTAAAATTTAAAATGTAAACTTTTTAGATTTCTTAAAGTATTTTTTTCTTTAAAAATTGTCCATACAGAACCTTGTGGGCACCCTGTGATTAGGGGTTTGTCTAAAGCATGTTGTGATTTATATAAGCAGATCATCAAACAGTTTATCTGTGCTGCATTCAGGTGAAAAACAGCAATCTGAGAAGCAGACACAGCTGGAACTATTGCTTGACACTGGAACAATATGAACTTTGCCAGAGAATGTGCTGTTAAAGTATGGAATTGGCTGGATTTGACTGACACAAATGTCTCCGTCATGGATTTCCTCTTTTGGCACAGTTGGGACAATACTGTCCACATCTTCCCATCTGAATACATCATTTTCTGTTGGAGAGTACAGTTCTACAGGCTCAGTGACCTTAGGCACAATTGTCTCATGTGATGTTGGGTGACTAGGGACTGAAAGGCTATATGTATGCGACAGCTCGAGTGGTTCTGTAATGGGAGAGTCACTGAGGGATACAGGATCTATGTCATCATGAAGATTAGGATCTTCATCATAGTAAGACTCTTCATCATTATAAGGATCTTCATCGTCATAAGGTATGTATGGCATATTGATTGGGGGATCTATACTCTCATCCTGTATTTCTCTCTCAAGTTGGTTGTGAGTAAGCCTGTGAGATGGCTTAGCTCTGTCTCTGCTAATGTGATAGGGAGCTGTTCTGTTCACTCCTTCTCGTTGTCGTTCATGTTTATTGCTTTTCAGTACAATGACTCTTCTGTTGTACACAGAGCCTATGTTCATGATCTCACATGGGACACGGATGGCCTGGAACTTAATGGGTGTTTGTACTGTACGAGATAAACACGATTTGGTCACCATTGCGGAATAATTGGTGACCATCTCACAAACATCTTCCTTTGTTGGATCAACCACCTCTGATGGGTACTCATATTCCTTTGTCTTAATGTTATATGTAGGTAGGTACTTCATTGTCGACTTAGGTGCCATTCGTTGGGTGATTGTACGGCACTTACTGTTCAGTTTCTCTGAGTTTTCAATGTCACCCATTTCTACATGATGTGCATCTACGTACCCCTCTGGGTCAGCATCTAACTGCTCAATTGATGAGGTAATGTGGCAATGTACACACTCGGTAATTTTACTCCAAATCTGCTGAGCATTCGGAACCTGGAAAGAAATATGGAAAAACATATTCAATGGATGATCTGGAACTACATCATACATTTAGTAGTACTATACTATATTCTTTTTTATTTATTATTAACCAACTTAAAAACTTACTTAAAGTGGTTCATGAATTTATAATAAATACAAATTGAGAAATTGTCCCCATAGTTCAGATTTTAAGTCCCCACAGAAATAAAAGTCTTAGGGAGCCATGTTTGGTGAGTTAGGGGCCATTCCCAGTTTAGTTTAGTTGTTCCATCCCCATGCTTTCCAATGGTCCCTTTTCCATATAGCTTTGAAATCTCTTTAAAGTCTCGTATTTAATGAGATTTGAGGAGATCTGCATTTTTGACCATTAAAGAGTAACACCTACTTCCATTTGATGGCATATTTGAATTCTGTGTGCAATGTTCTATCAAAACAACTTTGATTTGCACCGTTATTTACCTTTATTCAAATTCTAATGATTTTCTAGCTGTCTAAAAAAGGTCATGCTAAATCCCCATTGACACAATGTTGAAAAACCTTTAAAGGTTCATTTACTCTTACAAGGATTACAATGTTAATGTGAAATCACAATCCACATGTCATAAGATCATGTAGTTACATTCCAATGGTGTTTTAAGTTGATCCAAATGGAATTACTTGTTAAATCAAGAAATTGAGTGACTGGCAATACATTTACATGTATCCTATGATGCCATCTATTTTTCATTTATATGGAAAAAGGTCAATTGCTTTTTGTTGTATGGTAAGGTGCATTATCCCAATGCAGGATGAAGTGATCTACCAACTCTAGTCTTTTCTTGCCAATGGGATTCAGACATGTGTTCGTGAACCAAATCAAACATCACCAAAAAATGTGTTGAATATAAGAGCAAATATAAAGAACACCTTAAATAAACATCTGAGAAAACAAGAATGCATTGAATATAACAAAATATGGTGGTATTTCAAAAGTATAAAACCATTAAGAAAGAAAACATCATAATATTTTCTTTCTTTTTTTGACTGCTTTGGGTACGCTCGACATGGGTTGCCATGGTTACCATAAAATGCAGAATTCTAAATGAAACGTGCTGAAAGTAATTTTGTGTATTTATAATTACTAGATCAACATTCTATGAGAAAAAAAGGTTGGATTCATTAATGTTTACAAAAATTTGATCTTACTTTATGACCACCTGTATCTGCTGACCATTTAAGATTGGAAGGGGGGGGGGTGGAGGGGTCCATTTAACTGGAATGAAAGTGGTGATGATTGTAAATTTAAGTGTCAGATATATGATTCATTTAATTCTGTCAAAGAAATTTGAAGAAATATTTACTTATTCCAAAGATGGCAGCATTTCAAAGGTCTAATCCTAACACCAGATTGTTATCAGAGTGAAACATATAGTGTACCCTGGAGGACTTCTGAGATAGCACCAGATAGGAAAAATCATTGTTCAGGGGCAGATCCAGGAACCAAGAAGGGGTGGGGGGGGGGCATATTTGAAGTCTGAAGGAATTTATGGGGAAATTTAAGGCCCGTCAGTGTTGTATGCCCAGAAAATGTATCAATCAAATCAAATAGGTACACTGATTACACTTCACTGACATAGTCAAGCACAGGCTACTTTCTGGCCCAGAAGCTAATAGTAATTCTGATTAGGCAAGGCTATCTTAAAAAGAGTAAATATCCACTGCCGGATCTAGGGGAGGGGGCCTGCCCCCCCCCCTGGGTAGACCAAGAAAAAACATTGGGCCCCAAAATAGGCCTTAAGGCCCCAAAAAGTGGGCCTTTTTCTTAGACCTGAAATTTGGGCCCCCTCCCTTGTTGGTTCCCAGATCCGCCCCTGATATGATATATGCTCTCTTTTAAGAAGTGATATCAACCTTAATTTATAAAGATTGGCCTCATATTAGAAAACTTAACATTTCAGAACCAAGAGTAAAATATTATTCATAAAACTTTGGTCATGGATGATAATAGATATGGCCAGTGTTCTATATTTGTTAACAAATAGAATATAACTCCCATTGCCATGATTTTAAAGGGCTGTGGAGTGCAGTGAGACAATGATCAAGGCAATTTTTGTGTCAACAGGGCAAGAAAAACGTTCACACGAGCAGGGAGATGAAGGCCCAGGGGAAATCTAAAAAACTTGAGACAAAATGCTCACATTTTTGATGTGAATTAAAAAAGCGACGAGTCAAATTTTTCTAAAAAGGAGACAATACTCATTAAAGCCATAAAAACAGTCAATCACTTCATTATACTAATACATGTACATGTACTTCATTCTTAATGGAATATATAATTTCTCTATGAAAAACTGATGTTAGGAATAGGATGTTATATGTGATAAAAAACAAACATTTTGCAACTGATTTTTTTACATTTTAATACAACTTATATATACTATGACAAGACTTCTTTGATAGGATTATTCCTGCACTGTTCCTACATGATTGTTTCAATTGTTTTCTTCATTTATTCAAATAAAGCCAATGGGATTACATTCTGCTTTTCCAGACCCCTCTTAATATCCGATACTTGCAATGAACCCTGTTCTTCGGAAAAGGCACAAAATGATGGGATTATAATAAGTCTGTGAAGAGAGGCAAGAGAGACAACAAACAATTGAACTGTTTTAGTTTGCCTTTTTTCCTAACAATGAAATTGTAGATCAACTTCTCTGTTTCAATTTTCAAATAGGCCTATTAAACAAAGAATATCAAGAAATATATCCAAACATTTCTTACTGCATGTGTCTGTATCTTTAAGTACTTTGCATGGCATGTGAAATGGATATAGTTTAATTTTTATGGTTTCTTCATTTTTGTAAAATGGACATTGTCATTTAAATTTATTGTATTGACATTGTTACTCTAACTAGTGTTACTGGCCCGAGCCTATGAAGTTCTTAAATTACAAGAACATTAAAGTAATTAGTCTTAATATGGTTCCTGACTTTAACCGTCAACACTTTCTCTGAGAACACTCATGGTGGGACATTATCATTAGTCAACTTTACATTAGGAACATTATTCATTTAAAATGCTCTTTAGAAGTTGATAAAATCTGAGAGATTGTTTATTGTTTCTCCTTGCTAAACATTGAAGAGAGATTCATAACATAGATATGATTGTTGTAAATCTGAACCTGTTTCTTCATATTTGAAAATCATTTATCTGTCATATAGGGGTAGATCTAGGATGGAGGGAGAGTGGGGGGGGGGGTGAAGCTGGGGCATGACTTCATATTTAATTAACGGAAGAGATTCAAGAAAGATGTGCTTTGGTTGCTTATCCAATGGAAGTAACAAAAGAATTTTAACTTGAAAATGTTATTACTGATATCAATGAATCCTTCTTCAAAGGACTTCATTTATGCTTAAATTACTATTACTATATACCTTTGTAGTAAGGATGATAAATGATCAGATCAGATAAAAATCTCAGGTGAGTGCTGCGCCCACTTGCTTTAATGCTGGGGAGACCACTGAGTTTCCTTCTTAGCTCTTGTTTCAACTGTCTGATGCTTCTAGGGTTGGAATAGGTCCAAAGCTAAACTTCTGGGGGCTTGTATTGGGTGATTTTGACTAGTTTCGGCATTTGTTTTGTAAAATGACCATGAAATCGGGGCTATTGGGAATAGTCCAATGAAACTTATGAGAATGGAACAACATTGAACCTATGCTGGATGACTGAGTTATTAATGTTTGTTTGGGTTACCTTTTGTTTGGCTCACCCTGTAATTAAACACCCCATGTTTGGCATTTTTTCTGCAAATTTAAATGAGTAATTTTGGTGCTTTGCAAGAGAAAAAAAATTCAACCTGGATTCTGTGGTGGGATGTCCCTGCAATAAATATGAGGACAAAAAATGACTCACCTGTAGCCAAGCCCATCTTAGGTTGTTGTTGGCCTCCCTCTGGCAAAATTTGTTGTATCTCATATCACCACGGGCAAAACTCATTATTGCCTCTGGCTCGAATGTCCAAAAGTCAGGCCTTATCGCAATGTCAAGTCTTCTGAATGGTGCTGAAGTTTTGGTAAGGACTTTTCGAATATTAGATTCCCATTTGTGATCACCCATTTTTTTGTAGTAAGGAAATCTACTTCTCACATAGCTACAAGCAAATATCAGAGACATGCATTAGGAACAAAATCAAGTATGATTTATTTCCTCAGTGTGGAATAATATATAGGGTCTACCATGGGCTTTCAACTAGAAATAATTGAAAGCCCATGGATGGGGAGTAAGTCACCCCTCCTTCTTATATTCTGTAGCCTTATTATATAGGAGAGGGGATGATTTAACTCCCCGTGGGTCTACCTTTATTTATTCTGAGTAAAAATATGTTGCATCAAGATCAAGTCTCAGGAACACCCCCCACTACAACATTTACATTTGTCATTTCAAAAGCTTACCTGAAGATTTGATACACTGGTAAACAGAATGTTGGTGACCTCAGCATTGCCAAGAATGCCAGTTCTGCGGGACACAATCTTGGTTGCTCTGTTTCATCAATATTAATCATTCTCCCATTTTCACCAGGCTCTATGTTCTCTGTTGCATCCTTTTCATATATCCTGACGAAATTTTGAATGTGTTTTCGATAATTCTGCTCCACTGACTCCATATCCATTGTGCGTGTCTTGTCAGGCCTACTTGACACTCGTGATGTACATCAGAGACACATAAAACAATGTATAGTTATAATTCCTGATTTTGACTTGGTTAACTCTAAGATGTGGTGAAGTTGAATTGCATATTTAACTTATTTGAATTACTGTGATTCGTTATCCAACTTCAGCTTCTGAATTTTGATGCATCAGTGAAAACAAATTGACCAATGATTTAGTGCACGCATTCGTTAAATACAAATTGAACTAGTTGCACTCGTGAACTGCAAAACCCGCGCTGCATTGCAAGGCCAAATCACAATGAATTTATCCATCGTAACTTATCAAACCATTTATGTAAAATAGCTTACTGTAAAGTGACGATCATAAAAATGGGCGATCATTTAAATATATCATTTTATCGTTCACTACTCTCTGTTTTCAAAGTGACTTACGCTAGCCTACTCTGCCCTAGGTCTGCTCGGCCTTATTTCTAGATATTTTCACGTTGCACGTCGGGCTCGGGGTGTGGGGGAAGGGTCTGGGGTTGAAGAGCTTATCGTGGCATTTCTAATTCTTCATGTATACGAAATCTTTGTGTCCATGATTGATACGTACGCTTTTGATTTGAACTAGTTCAATACTTTTAATATTAGTAACAATTCCTTGATCAAAGTGATATCAGATTTCATGAGATTAAAACTGATACCACCCGCGACTTGTTGATGTATTTTTCTCCCGATTTGTCTATCCATTCCATTGTCTCAATAAAAGCGCCTTCAAAGTGTGAATGATATTTGATGGTTCTTGTACAGCATTCTGATACATAGATAACATCTTTAATTTCTGTTTCACCTGAAACATGCTCTGATGTTTTGAGGCATGATCTGAGCACATCAGATGGGAGGAGTTATAACACTGTCAATAAGTGTAATGGTTATCATGTAATCATTTACCTGAAGGTACAGCTGGAAAATAACACTTTGGGGAAAATTGCTATACCTGCACATGTTATTTTCTGGTACAAAATTAAGTATGAAGGCATATGTGTATTTCCTTGCTTTTTTCAGGAAAGTATCATTACATTGTCTACTTTTGGTAAACCTGGGAACTGGTCAATGTTAGTTCCTGTGTTGTCTGGAAACTTTAAAAGAAAATTTTGAAAAATAGAAAGCATGACATATCAGAATTTCCTGGAGTTCCCGTTTACCTCTTACCAGATATACTAAAAGAAGACAATGTAATGATACTTTCCTGAAAAGCAAGGAAATTAACACATGCCTTCTACCCTGCGTGCAGAGTCTAGTTAAACGAAGACGAAGCTCTCTTTTAAGAAGTGAATTCAAACGAATGCAAAGGGTACATGCCTTCATACTATATTTTGTACCAGAAAATAACATGTGCAGGTATGGCAATTTTTCCCAAAATGTTATTTTCCAGCTGTACCTTAATGTCAATTATTACATTACACAGGCCTGTCAACTGTCCCGCAATTTGCGTATTTGTCACGCATTTGCTGAAGAATTTGAAGTCACGCCAGTTTTTTTTGCGTGACACAAAATGTCACGCAAATACGCATTTTACCTGGTAATTGTCACGCAAATATGTTTCTGTAAAAAAAATTTCAAAATATGTTTATGATACGGTAAAAATACGAACGTCGGAAAAAAACGAACGCAATTTGTTCGGATTTGTCACGCGAATCCCATAATTGTCACGCATGTTCATTGGAAATTTTCGTACCTACCCCCCCCCCCCCCGTTGACGACATCGAGAGCGTAGCGAGCGCGAAAAATTTGAGGTGATAAAAGTTTAGCAAAGGTGCTCAAACTTTGGCCAAAGGTGTTTAAAAGTTGGCCAAAGGTGTTCAAAATTTGGACAAAAGTGTTCAGATTTGGACTTCGGTGTCCAACATTTGTAAGTCACTCATATTAGGTGGTCCCAAGTTGACAGCCCTGCATTACATAATAGGCATTAAGTTTTAAGATGAAATAGGAACTTGGAAAGATCTAAAAAATCCTCAAATTTGGGATCTCTTGGATCACCAAATCTAACTCGATCATGACATCTCAGGGCTGAGAAGAAATGAGATGTCATGGTTAATAAAATCGTAAATAATAGTGATACACCCTTTATTTTATTTCTCTCATATGAAGCTGAGATGATAACAACCAAGTTCTGAAAGAATTGTCCAAGATCAAAGATTTCCAAAGAAAGGAATGTGTCCTCCATAATTGACAACCTTGCACATAGCATTCAGGAGGGCCTTCGTTCGTGCGACCCCCCCCCCCAAATCTTGCCACCTACCCCTTCCAAAAATTAACTGAACCCTCAAGTTTTGAGTTAATTTTTGGCAGTATTTCAGTAATTTATCGTTTTCTCTTATTTCCTTAGATATCTGAGCTACTAGTATGCAAAGATGGAATTAAATATGTGAGATGTATAACTTTATCTTGAGTAAAACGACTGAGAATGACAACATCTAGGTTTAGAAGCAGACTAAGCTGTGGATAAGCTGTTTTGCCAATGTAGACATGGACCTACGCAGGAGGGGGTATCCTTGTTTTTAAAGTGCGAGCCAGGGGCGCCTTGATTGTAAAATGGGCAGAAGAGATGGGAATCTTGAAAAAATGAATTTCGAATGTTTGTACTAAGGACTCTCGATTAATATGAATATAATTAGGAAAGTTAACAAGAATCAATATTTAATTAGTATCAAACCACTGGCGGATTAGGGGGGGCCTGGGGGCCCGGGACCCCCCCCCCCTTGGGTGGGCCCAGAAAAAAAAAATTTGGGCCCAAAAAAAATTTTGGGCCAAAAAAGGCCTTAAGGCCCCAAAAAGTCGGCCTTTTTGGTCATTACTGGGCCTTTTAAGGCCTTATTTTTTAAATTCAGGCCAAATTTTGAAGAAAATGGGCCTCAAAATTTCAAAATTTGGGCCCACTTTTGCGTTTTAGGGGCCCAAAATTTTTTCCCGCGCAAGCGCGGAGGTTATTTTCTCAGACCTGAAATTTGGCCCCCCCCCTTGTTGGTTCCCAGATCCGCCCCTGCAAACCTAGGATGATTCTAGATCTAAAACTAATCGATGACTCATTCATAAGATAAGTTCCCGGGGAGGAGCCATTCTGTGGTCCCTAATAGTTGGATTGGATGTCTTTCATTATTACGGACGGCACTGACCTGCCCAGTTCGTCTACAACTAATATAGCTGACAAGTGAAATTGGTTCCAATAATCAAGACTTTAAACTTTTCTAATTTTTACCTTTTAGCGAATCTCATCCGTACGAAGGGCTTCAAAATCCAATCCAGAATGACGGCCAGATATCTGAAGGAGGTACGGATTCTGGACACCTGCTTAGCGGGCTGCTTAGGAATTGGCGAATCTAATCCCTGGGGTCTATTCAAAGGAGGTTACTTTCCTACTTTTAACTCTTACTGGTGTGAAAGAAATTATGGTCCCCCGGGGACTATGGCCCCCCTTCTTAACGGCCCTTACTGGCCCTGACTGTGTATAAAGAATTTTGGGTAGGGGGAGTGTTGGGGTTCGAGGGGCTCGGCTGAGCAAGCATGTAATATTTCGACACCGGGGATTACTGTCCCCGCTCTCAATTCACTTACATATTTCGTATATAGCTTAAACTCAATCGGTCAAGTAAAAACTACAATGTGAAGACTAATCCATATATAGAGCTGGGGGTTACTTTTGGGTATGGATGGGTATGGATGCAAATAGTAGAAGAAATCATTTTGGTTATATAATTTATGTATAGTGTTTCTAACATTTTAATATATTACACATGCTCCAATGGGTCAGGTGTGAAGAACAACCCACTTAGAAAATATCGGAGTGAACTGCCATCTATACGAGTCTTGGGTCCCATTTGTAATTTACCTCGACCATGATGTCAGACCAGAATTTCAACGATTGAAAACAGTATTTTGAACACTCATGGTAGACATGGTATATCATGAATCTAAAACACGGTGTAAAGCTGCCTAAAACAGAGGGGGTTATCAAGAGACTCATAAAGGACGAAAATGGCTCAATATATATTCGAAATATATTTAGGTTGTTACGATTTACCTTCTTCTAAGGCCACAACAATTGGCTAGAGACTTGAGTAAGAGTACGATCGAATCACGTTAAGATTCTCTCACACATATCATGACAGAGGCCATTTGAGACTATCACACGAGTGAGATAAATTGCTTTTAAATGAACAGATGTGAAGACTCGTTTTAAAAAGAAGTGACAAAGATGATCCCCTCCAAAAATATTTTGTAAATACTTGAAGCTAGTCTGAGTTGACATTCAATTGATAAATGATTTTACCAAAGACAGTCTTAACGATCTTCACATTATACACTAGATGCTCTAGATTTCAATGTCATGACCAAATGAGACGTTGTCACATCATTATGTCCTTGGGGGTTAACACAATGTAATCAGTGACAATACACGAGTTGGGATCAAAAGATCTTGTCCGGCGTGGGGGAGCACCTTTTTTCATAGAACACTGAAAAAACTTCACAAGTTAGTACTCACATGTTTCGTTATACCAGAGAAAACTATCTACTCCCAACAACAATTGGTATACATATATATGGCGGACAACTTTTACATCCAATAACGCTGCATCTTGGATTTCCAAGGTATGATGTTTTGAAAATCACACTGGGAAACGAGTATGATAACACTGGGAGTAAAAGCTATTCATTGAAAACGGCGTCAGAGTGCCATTCTCTAAAATGCTTTCACATAGACCGAGTATTCACATAATGAACAGTGTGTGAAATATCCATAACACACGTAAGGTCACCAGTTAAACAGTTGTCATGGTGATCGTGAATGGACTTCTCACATTGGATTTGAGGACTTGCCAGCTTGACCCTTGCAAAAAATGTCATTGAAAATGTGTTCTTTTAGTGATTTTGTTCCTTTTAGATGATTTTGGAGAAAATATTTTGCAATGTGTGAAAAGATTTTAATCCCAAGATTCAATGCATTGTAGCTGATCATGATTCATTCCATCTAAACTTTGCATTCCCGCTGCGCCCGCTGCGCGGTCATGCAAAGAATTAGAAACAACACCTTCTTGGTATGATTCAGCAAACAATGCACTGAGTCCAGGGCTTAAATCCTTAACTATCATACTCTAAAATGCATGCTCCTGCGCCGGACAAATCTTTCGCTTTCAATACTACGTTGATTTTGAAGGACATACGTACATACATAGTTAAGCAATAGTTTACACAAACGTATAACATCCTAATTCCTAACTAGTGTTGCTGAAAATTTGTCGAAAAATAAGTAAGAAATCAACTCATAAACGT